CCCCCCACCCTCAGAAATGAACAGTACAAAAAGACAACAAAAACAAACACACACACAAAAAGCTCATAGCGTATAGGTAGTACGACCAGCATAGTCTGGGGCCGTTGGTGGCCGTTTTGGTAAGGATCCGGAACCAGGGCGAGTGAGACAGGATCCGGAATTCGATGGATGCGCCTTTCCGTCAAAATAAAAGCACCAAGCTAATAAAAACGCGGTGAAACTTTAATTTAAAGAATATAATTTACAAGAAAAGCCCCAAGCCATTGAGTTAATCGATTTTCTTACAACTCTCATCACCCCAAATCGATGGTGCGTGTGTTTTACTTTGGTGAACACTTTTACTTTGGTGAATTTGGTGAATTCCGCATCCGGTCTCTAGACCGGAACCAAAATCCAGACAAAATTCTGAGTGAATAGAAACGCGAGGCTGACCAGCAGGAAGTTCAGCACCAACTACAGAATGAATGTCTGTACATATACATAGTACAAGTGAGTCTTTCTATAATTAGGGGCACATTTCATGTCAATGGGTTATATTTATCAAATTTTATAAAATATTCACTTCAAGCAATGATTAATTTATATTGTGGCACAGTTCTCTTTAATGTAATACAAATATTTCAACAGGTCCCATCCTATATTTAGCAGAAAATGCGTATGCTATACTGGAATTTGCTGTTTCTGTGCTGTCCAATTTGCTGAATGTCAGGTTTTGCTCTTCCAAGTAACATGTCGGTGAAGATTCTCAGTCATCCAGGTCATAGTAATCGTAAGTGCTAATATCGTTGGCACCCGGACTTGCTTGCGTTTCTTTAAGACGTTTCGCCTCTCATCCAAGAAGCTTCTTCAGTTCTAAATAACTTGTACGAAGTTGCAGGCTATAAACCCTGTGTGGTTGGGAACCCTTGCAGAGTCGTAGGGGTCTCATGAGCTCTAAGGTTCAGAGTCGTTAAGGTCACGATGTGAGTCGTTGACCCACCTGGCCACCATGTGAGTTGTTAGGGTCAGGTGGGACCAGGGGTGAATGGGTGTGAAGTCGTCTGGGGAGAGATCCCAAGACTGCATTGTAGGTGGGGGATAAGTAGTGTCGTAAGCCACCCCCTCTGTTTAACATAGTAAAGTAGTAACACTAAAATACACATTTTTGTATATAACTTTAATCATTATTTGTTTAAAATGATCATTAGAACATGAACATGACTTGTAAAAAAAACTACCTGGATCATTCATGTACATTAAAACATCAATTTTGTGTGTGTCCAAGAAATCTCTGTCAACTGTGTTAGTCATTAAAAAAAAAAAACCTATGAAACAGCAATGGTTTGCTCCAAAGTCACATGCTCAACATCACAATGATGTCACTTCCTTTTTGAGGGAATTTTAAAGACAGTGTGGTAAGTTTCTATTCCCTCTCTTCAATATTTCATCAATACTATTGTTTACCGATAGAGTAGCTTAATTCACTGTCAGCTGTGTTATTAACATATTCTTGTGAACTTGGTTTAGATATTATTTTTACAAATATGTAGAGAAAGTGTATAAAGATATGAGTTGATCAAGGGCAAGGTCCAACATTAGCAGATAGCAGAAGACCCTAAAATGGCCGAAATGTCAACTGTGTTACCCATCAACTGTAACACAGTTGACAGGGCTTAACACAAGCTATGTTTCCATCCAAAAGTGATTTGAATCATTGGGAAATGCACATTAGAAGAAATACGAATTCTGTGTGTTTCCATTAAATGTACGGACTTTGGTGAAAACTATGAACTGCGAGTTTTCCGCAGAACCGGAAACAAAACAAGTCTCACATTCTTCTTCTTCTACGTTTTCTGGCAGTTGGCAACCAGCTTGTAAATGCATTACCGCCTTCCCAACCCAGAGTGTGTATATCACCATGGAGAGAAGTGCGCTACGTAAGACTTAAAGGAAAATTTCGGTTTATTTCAACCTGTTTCCTATCATCCTAAATTTGTTTCAAGTGACTAGTGACATAAAAATAATAGTTAGCATGTTAGCCGTTAGCCTAGATACAGCCGGGGCGCATAGTAGCGTCAGACCTGTTAAAATGTAAGTGAACGGGCATACTTCAAGTGCAAAGTTAGTCCACTAAACAAGCTTTTTTTCCACAAAGACCGCCTCATATCGTTAGGATAAATGTCAGAGAACGTATAGAAAGCGATATGTAAACGTGTTGTCTTACCTTACCGGTGTGCTGCCATGTTTGTTTACCATCTAGCTCTGCTTTCCAAAGCGCGGACATGGCACCACACCGGTAAGGTAAGACAACACGTTTACATGTCGTTTTCTATATGTTCTTTGACATTTATCCTAACGAAATGAGGCGGTCTTTGTGAAAAAAAAAAAAGTGTTGTTTAGTGGACTAAAGGCCCGAACATACTCGGGTGGAACGTACGCAGAACGGACTCCGCAGAGGTCCGCGCAGACTCAAAGAGGATGTCTGCAAGCCCTGTGCGCACAAAGCTCAGATTTTACGACCGCGCAGACTCCGCTCCATGCACCAGTGACTGCTCGGCATGTATTTTTCACACGGACATTTTTACAGGAAACTACAACGCAGAAGTGCGCTCGACTATGAAAGCCCGAATGACCACGGACATTCCTCGTGAAGTCCACTCCGCTAATAGTACGCCCGAGTATGTTCGGGCCTTAACTTTGCACTTGAAGTATGCCCGTTCACTTACGTTTTACCAGGTCTGACGCTACTATGAGCCCTGTCTATATCTAGGCTAACGGCTAACATGCTAACTATTATTTTTATGTCACTAGTCACTAGTCACAACAAATTTAGGATGATAGGAGACAGGTTGAAATAAACCGAAATTTCCCTTTAATTCGAACATAACTGTTTCCATCCCCCGTTTTGGGAATCAGCATTTTTTCGAATCAACCAAAACCCGGCTAAAGCGAGCGTATTTTAGTTTGTGCGAATTGGGATTTTAATTTGAATTTTGGCGTTTCCATCATAATTTTCCGATGCGAGACTTCTAGATGCGCATCTAAACAGGCTGATGGAAACATGGCTACTGTTAACAATGTTGGCAGTTGTCGTAATTCATGCATATATTGAGTGTTCTTGATTAAAAAAAACATACATTAACTATGCTTATTACACATAAATTATATTGTAATTACATAGTAATTGCCTAAAACATGATTCAAATTAGAAGAGATTAACCTAGTCTATCTAAACAGTTCATAGTGTAATGATTTCATGGAATATGCATGATTTTGATATGATTCAGTGGTTTTAAATGATCATTAGGCCTACATAATATTAAACAAATTATTATTTGTGTTTTAGGGAGATGAAGTTATCTTCAGCTGAGAAACAGCGCCAGTACAGGGCTCGGCGAAATGCTGATCCTGAGAGAAGGGCCGCGTATTTACAGAAAAACAGAGAGACATGGCATGAGAATAAAAAGCTAGGGAAGGTGAAGACGATGAAAGATTTAAGTGAGAGGGAGAAGAGGAGGAAGCGAGCATATTGGAGAAGAGCCCAGCGCCAGAGCAGAGAGAGAAAGCAAGTGATAGAGCACCAGGTTACTCCACCGCAGAGTCCTGATGTTGATCCACAGCCTCAGATGTCAAGGTAGACATATTATTATTATTTGTCATCCTCAAGACAGGTTTCTCTTTTTCTCCTCATGTGTCCTGTCAACTGTGTTACTTTGTAAATTGTGTTACATTGTGTGTGTTACTTTCTAGTTTGTAAATGTTGTTTGTCCAATCCATTAATGAACAAGTATACATACACATACATGCAAACACTTTCGGCCATTTTCGGTAAATAGGACATGAATGGTTGCCATGTTTTATCAGAGATTACAGAGCTGAGGGAAACACTGTATCTAACTCTCTCTATGTGTAACAACTTAGTGATTTCTGCCAACCAAGTCTTAAAAGAAGGCACATCCTCAGATTTCCAAAGAGTTAAAATATTCCTTTTTGCCACAACCATGCCATACTGTATTGTCTTTTGCTGCAAGTGGGATAGAGCTAATAGATAGGCAGTGCGTGGGTCTGGTGTGATGTCACAGGTGTATACTTCTGAGAAGCACTTAAAAATGTCTGACCAGAACTTGTTTAACTTAGGGCAAGACCAAAAGAGGTGAGGGTGCCCTCTGCTGATTTACATTTTGGGTAAAATGGAGAGACAGAGGGATAAAAATTTCATGACAGATTCTTTCACCTCATTTCGTGCTTCAGTTTGGACACTGTACTTTGAAAGTATTAAAAGAAAATGGGAGTACAGTTGCATGCAAAAGTTTGGGCACCCCTGGTCAAAATTTTGTTTCCTGTGTATAGCCAAACAGATAACACATTTCTTCAATATTTTAAGCATCATTTTTTTTCTAAATTGCAGTCTTTTACAGTTTCAAAATAACAATAAGTAAAAGGGCCCGTAGCAAAATTTTGGGCACCCTGCATGGTCAGTGCGTGTTAGCACCCCCTGTGGCAAGTATCGCAG